ATGCTAAGACTCATATAGAAGACTCATTCATACCACTAATTTAAGTAAGTGGTATGAAACACAACAGCATAGGACTGGAGCTCAGATGGACAAAGCAAGGAAATCTGGAAACTGTACACACACGCACACACACACACACACGTATATGTACATATGTATATATAACATATCTATAAGAATGTGTAATAAATTTAGGGATACAACCCCATATACACACACACACACACACACACACACACACACACACACACACACACACACTGAGAAGCAATGGCTTCATAACAAGTACTGGTTTTAAGTCTCTCCTCTGACACATACTGGCTATGTGACTATGGGCAAGCATCTAACTTAACCTCTCAGAGCTCTGGGCAACACTCTAAAACTATAAATTGCAGAGAAGGTACCAATTTGAACTGGCAAAGGGAGTTTCCACATCGGGAAGCACTCCACACCATGAAGTCACAAGTCAAGTACCTATTCTTCCACATACCTGTAAGGGAAACTGAGGAGGACAGATCCTCCCCAGCCCCCTGTGTAACCGTCTTATGACCTGACATAAAGATAAAATGGAGTCATCAAAGCGTGGCCAGGATCAAGGAGACTGGAACATTAAGTAATAACTAAACAATGTTACCTGGGAAACCAATTTATCTCAAGGAACGTTTTTCTTGAGAAAGGTGTGTAACTGTCCAAGGAATTGATCACTCCTTGGAGACCTACACAACAAACAGGTATCTGGGGCTCTGATCAAGCCCCAACTTTTGTTAAAGATGTGTGCATGCCTGGACATGAGCTCACCAAGGATGTGTACACAAAACAAAATATCAAGATTGTCTTTCCCTGGTTTACATGAATATAAAAGGGGTCATCTGGAAAGGGATCTTTGGAGACTTTGATGTCAGAGATAGGGATGCCAAATCTCTTTTGTGTGTGTTCAGAAGAGGACCATGTGCACAGATTCTGTTGAGTCGGAGCGGCGCCGCTCCATTGGCCTCCCTGACCAGACCTTTTGGCCGTTCTCCAGTCTCCCTGGTCTATTAGGTATTTGAGCTTACCTGGTCAGTGAGTGGGTATCCTTTCTTTTCTTATTCCTAGTTTTCTTTATGTTGATTACTACTAATTGCACTGAATGTTATTCTTAACTTTATTGCTTGTGTGGTTTTTAATCATTATTAATAATTGTAAAATAAATGTGATTATTTGTTAAGTTTACATTGAGTACGTGTCATCATATCTTGAGATCCGAATCTAAACTGAATCTGCACAGTACGTAATCTGTTCGATTACAATACCTTACTATTACAAAACGTGGAGGACTCATTTTGCATTTTAAAAGCAATTTTGTGGGTCATGCTATGTAAATATTATGGCAGATGAAGATGAGAGAAATTGGTATTGAGTAATAAAAAATGTGCTGTAGCAAACCTACTATGCATATAATTTTTGCCTAAAAATGACTGTAGATTGATTGGGGGAAATATCAGGGCAGGCAGAAATATGTATGGGCTATCAGTCTCTTCAGTAATTCTGAGACACTGTGAAAGTGATACTCCACCTCCCTTCTCCACAACCCTGCCTCTATTCCTTTGATTATGCCATTCCCAATGCTTAGAATATCTTCCATCCATGCCATCTCTACTTACTAAATTCTTACCTATTCCTCAAAACTCGGTACAAATGCCACCATCTTCATAATGCTTCCCTAATCATAGATGGAAATTATATTTTCTTTCTCAAAATTATTATTCTTTTCTTAAACCTCATTTATCACTTTATTTGTCCCTTTGTTGTGGACTTACCTTCAATTTTGTATATCATTTATGTATGGCTGTCATCATCTCCCAATTAGAATATAAATTCCATGAAGGCAGGGACCTCTTCTTGTTTAATATTTGTATTCTCCTAATGCCTAACACAATGCTCTGAACACTGTAGGTATTTAATAAATACTTGGGGAATTCAATTAAGAGTGAGGGATATACACTTACTAGAGGTATTAAGTAATATAACTGAATTTTAACAAAATAACTTAGAGATCCTCTTCAAAGCTGTCACCCCAAGAGGCTATATGCTTACTCAAACATATTGTCCTTGCCCAAAACATCTTTGGAACGTCTCTTTTGGAACTGCCTTCAAAGACTACACAGGATGTTCTCTTGAATACTCAATAATAGCAAACAAAGCTTTGAGGGTATTTTCATAAGGAACCAAACGTTCCTTAGAAACAAGTCTGGGGAATCAGGTGGGTGTTCAACATGAGTTTTACTATTCTTGTTATAATAAAATGTAACTCTAAGGTCATAAGACTTTTTCATGTGTTTCTCACTTACTGGCTTTGAAGGCAATTTCAAAAGAGCAGTCTTTGTTTAAAAAAAAAAACACAAAAACACATTGTTACTTACAATCATACCTCATATACTTTTGAGTTGCAGAGCACTTTTCTTTTTGTAAGTCAAAAGTGTTTTCCAAATAATGCATTTAATTCTCAAAAAAAAAAGTATGGAAAGGGCAAATGTTATCCTTGTTTTTTAAAAAAAGGCCTAAATGGCTCGGGTTAGTAAATTGTCTCTATTATTTAATGAAAAAGAAGCAGAGTTCCAATATCTTGCCACTCCCTATTTAATATTCTATGATGAGTTTTATAGCGTTAAGTACTAGAGCTTTATACTCCTTGAAAAATGGCATTATAAGGGTACAAGTTATGATTTTATTATTTATGGGAGAAGGCATAAAATATTATTGCATACTTAAAATACTATGCAGGACTATTTAAATTGCTACAAATTCAAATATAATCCTATATAGGGATGCTGCTTCTTCACACATGCAATGACACTTAATTCAAGGGATTCTACTTGTTTCTCAAACATACCTACCCCACACAAGTCCTATTTAGGTTCCACTTGTATAAGAGATGACATTTTGGCAGGGACTTTCTATTAGTAAATACCCTTTCATTTTATTTTAGAAAAATTTCTACTTAAAGAATAAAGTATTCATGTGAAATACAGATACAGAAAGTGAGATAGAACATTTTTGTTGGAAAAATTACAGAAATTTGAAATATGAAATTTCAGAAATCTAAATAGATTTAAGGAAGAGGAGAAGAGAAAACAATAATATAAAAGTTAATCTGTACATAATTCCAAGATAAATCTTGTGGAAAAGAAACAAAATTTTTATGTCTAATTGTGATTCACTGATTCAGTCAAAAGAGGATTTTATGTACAGTACCAAAGAAAACCAAGGTATTACCCCTTTCTTTTCCAGCTATTCATCAATTAAGTAGTTTTGACTATCTAGTTTTGACTATCTGTATCTACTGGTTGTCTCAGACAACAGACAACAAATTCAGAATAAGCAGGTAGGAAGCTGCACAGGACACAACATGTAGGATGATGTGAGAGTCATGCTTTAACCTAACCTTTAAAAAGATAATTTAACTATATATATATATACACACACACACACACACCACACACACACACACACACACACACACACACACACACACGCAATTTTTTTAAAGCCAGAAATTTCAACCAGCATGACAACATAGGGGTTTCCTTTGTTTAAAATCAAATGAAAGTCTCTGGAGGACAGCACCAGCAATATGGGAGTCAATTTTTAAATTTTGCCTTGGACATGTTAATAATGCCTTATCCTAGCTATGCTGTTCAGTGTTTTATTCACTTAGCAAGAGAAATCTTGTTGAAAGAAAAAAGGGTGAAATGTATCCTTTGTTGGGATAGTTTTCACGGAGAAAGCAATCATCCTTAACAGGGAACATTCAGAAGATTAAATCAAGAACACATAGCTCTTCTGTCTGGTAAAAGTAAAACTAAGCTAACTTCATCTTCATAAAGTACGGTGGTATCTCAGAATCCTTGTCCCTTTCAGAGACAAAATCCTGAGGGCCTGTCATCCTCTCCATTAAGAACCTGGATAACTTCAACTGAGCTGAAAAGAGATGAAATACATTGGCAATGTAAAGGAAATAGATAATAAAGAATGAAAAAAATAACAAAAATTAATCGTAATTTAAATATTCTGTGCTGTTCCAGAGGCATTAAGAGCCTCAGGTTGAGCACAGGCCTGGGAGTGAAACAAGTTCTAATCACAGCTTCCAGAATGACTGGCGGCATAGCTTTGGTGCCTACACTCCCTGGTCTATAAAACGGGGTAATTTAATAGCAACCTGCCTACACAATGCTCCTTTGATGTGAACTAATTAATGATTTCACAGGGCAATACTTTTAGAAATATTATGCATGATCCTTCAATTAAAAAAAAATCCCTCCAAACCCACACACTTTGGAGCCTATCCCGATACCAAAAAAAAAAACAAAACACGTTTTTTGTCTTTTTCCCTCATTCCTGCTCCTCCCCTCCAATTAATTTCAGGCTCTTACCACCTCTGCCTAGTTGACGATCTGTTTTGATGCCAAAGTCGCCAACAAAAGCGATTAAAGAGGAGATGGTGAAATTGACCAGACGAGAGAAAGTGGCGACGTCCGAGCCCGGCTGGGGCCAGGGCTGGGAATCAGAGGGAAGAGAAACGTGGCACTGGTGCTAGTGACCCGCCTGTAGATTAAACTGGATCAGATCTTCAAACCCCCCCGGGGGACGGGGGGGGCGGGAGTGAAGATTCTGGGTTCGGTTTCTGCCGGGCCGCCAGCTCTGCTAGCCCGGGGGCCCCTAGGCCCTTGCCCCAGGCAGGGCGGGCTGGGTGTCTGGTGCCCCGGCTTCACCTTCGCCTCCCCGGGGGGTCCCTCCCCAGGGACCCCAGCTTGGGAAACCGAGGTCCCACGTGCAAAAGTTGTTCGGGGTGTCGGGGTCAAGAGCCCAGAAGAGGGACTCGGCCGGGCCCCGGGGCTCCCGCACCGCCCCCTCCTCCCGTAGCCGCGGGCCCGGGCCGTGGCGGCCAATGTCCGTTAGGAGCGGCGGCCCGGGACGGTCCGGCCCAAGCCTGTCGCCCATGCTCCGTGGCCCGCCCTTACCTGACCCTTCGGGCCCCAGACATGCTCGGACGCTCTCGTGGACGCCCCCAGCCCCCGCCTCCGCCGGAGACTGGACCGGGGGCCGAGGAGCCAAGGAGCGGGCTACGGCGACGGCTCGGGTCCTACAGCGACTCCGGCCGCGGCGGTGCCGGTTCGGAGAGACGGGAAGCCACAGGAGTCAAACCCAGCTGAAAGCGCTCGGGCTGAGTCTAGGCAGCCCCGCATCCAGAGCGAGCCAGCAAGGGAGCACAGCGGACGTGCAGTTCCTAGCTGCGAAGGCGCTGCCGGAGGCCGCTGCCGCTGCCGCCGCCGCCGCCGCCACGCCCACTCCACCTCACCCGGCCAGCACAGGCAGCCCTGCACCCCGCGGGGGTGGCGCCGCAGGAGCTCCGCCAGGGGTCCAGGCGAGGGACAAGTCCCAAGCAGACCCTGGGAAACTAGGGGTTTTTGACTTCCCTTGCTCAAGGTCCTATTTGTAACTAGTATCCCTCTCACTCCCTGCAGTTGAGCGATCAGGATTAACTGTTGTGCAATTGTTAATCTGCTTTCACTCCACACCGAGCACCAACACCCTAGGACATTATCTCTAGCCTGGCCTATGCAATAGCCTCCTAAATGGTCTACTTGCATCTTACTCCACTCGCAGACAAAGTGGTATTCTTAAAGTACAGGTCTAATATGCCACATTTCTGCTCATGAAACTCCAGTGGCTTCCTAATACCTCTAGGAACAAATATAAACTTCTAGTTGTCATTTTATAGAATCATATAATAAAAAGTAGCGAGCACAGACACACACACACACACACACATCCCATACACCCCAGCACTGACTAGACCCACAGCCATTTCCTAGGAAAGCAACCCAGAGGAGGTAACTCATCTGGCAACTACCTCTTCAGGTAGTGGAGACCTGGCTCCTTACCTGATGCAGCTGCACATACTGAAAGCCTAGAAAAGGAAGATGCCCAAATCCTTGGCATCATCAAATGTCTCAGCATAGGAAATAGTTTATTTATGTACTTATTTATTTCACTAAAGAAACTGAATTAAAATCTGCTTTGCTGCTGCATCCTAAGAATCATTGGGCTTTTTCATTGGATTTGCACTTGAGACTTTTCATATGTATTGTGTTGCTCTTTTTACAATGTAAGCTCCTTGAAATAGAAAACTGTGTTGCTTTCCTATTTGTATCCAGAACCTTTAATGACCAGTACGACTCTGGGAACCCCCTCCCCATGAGCTCTCCTTGAGTTTTCTCCTTTTCCAGCAGGTCAACTCCCTGTCCTTTGCCTGAGGCATCAAGGCATCCCAGTAATCCACCCAACTGACCTTTCATCTCGGAATTCTGTTACCTCTAATTTAGCCCAGCCCTTCATGGTCTGTTACCTCAGATTGCCCCACCCGTAATTCTACCTAGACCCCATTCTCCCTTGCCACGTGTTCCAGGGCCCTGTCCTTCTCTGTTACCTTCCAGTCTACCCAGGCTATTGGCCACTCCTAGCTCCTTCCCACAGTCTTTCTGCATATAATCTTGCCACCCATTAAATTGCTTAGATTCCTTAAGAGTCTGGCCCATAACAAGGATTTTTAGAATCACGCCACCTTGAACAGTATTCTAATAAACTTTGTCTTTGGCTGAGAGAAGGCTTGGGTTGAATTCATTCCAGGTAGGACCTCTGTCGCTATTTTAGGGTCCCAGCACCCTTGAATCTCATCCAAAGAGAAATTTCCCTAAGTCACTAAATTAGCAAGATGGAAATAGGGACATGATAGACACTGCCTGCTCCTATCATGTCTTTTCCTTTAACAACCTGAAATGTGGGTTGGCCTCTTCCATCTTTTCTCAAAGCTGGAAGCCAGGAATGCATGAAGTGACTTGATACTAGAAGAAGACTTGAAGCTTGACTAATCTCAAAGGGGACTGGCTTTGAAGAGTCCCAAAGAGGGGGGAGCCAAGAAGCTCTCATCTCTCACCAACTTCCCCACCTCCTTGGGTAGGGCACAGTCTTCATCACCACCAACTAGAAGGGAGTCCCATACTGATGGGCTTTGGGACTACACTTATTGGCATCCTTAGTACTTAACATAGTGCCTGAAACATAGGAGGCATTTAACAAATGTTTATTAAATTGAATTGAATTGAATTGAGATGGCTAAGAGCATGGGGAATTGTTGAGCGACACTTTCATGATAGTAATTCCAGCATTACTGTGAAGGTAGTTCTCTCTCCTCCTGTAACTCTGGACTTGGGGGAGCCCTTAGTACTCTAAGCTTTTATCTCTAAGCTAGGGGATTCTAGCCTTTTTTGTATCATGGATTCCTTGGGTAGTTATAATCCTGTGGACTCTTTCTCAGACTCATGTTTTAAAGACATGATTGAAAGAAATGCCAAGTTTCATTTAGAGGTCAGTAAAAATGATAGTTTTTTTTTTCCCACCCAATTTCAAAGTCACCTTGGAATCTATCCACTGGCCCATTTAGGGTCTATGGACCCCCAGTTAAAATCCCCTTCTCTAAGCTCTAAAAAAAAACCCCAAAAATAACCCAGGGCAGGCCATATCACTTGCTACCTGGATTCCCAGGGCTCCTGGGAAGCTAATGATCACTTTCCTACCACTTGTCCAGGTGGCAAGAGATTCTGTTATTTCTGGGGAAGCTTCATTTAACTTTCAAGATTCAGTCATGTTTGCAACTGAACAGGACTGGGTAGACTAATTAGGTTAAACTTGGGGGTTGGGTTGTTGTTGTTGTTTTTAATTCTGCTATTGTTGGAGAACTGCCAGATTTTGAAAATAAATTTTAGGAGAGGTCACCAAAGGGGAGAGGATGCTGGCACCCAGAACTAGAAACAAAGGCAAGAAACCGTAAATGAATATCCTGTCCACCCCAAAAAGAAGATCAATGAGGCCTTATATCTGAGAATGGAGAACCCAAATAAACAAAAAGACCAGACCGAAGGAAAGGTTGGACTGGTTCTCAGTACCACTCGGCTCTCTAAGAGAAGGATAGTAAGAGTAATGGATAGAATCCTGGGAAAGTGGGCTGTGACCAGCTCTATATAACCAAGCAACATTGTATGTGACCATTCCTTCTCTGAGGCAAGTAAGGCCAAAAAAATGGGGAAAGATGGGTCTTAACAAACCAAGCAATTCAGGATGCTGGGGGGAAGTTCAGAAAGGGAAAAACAATTGTGCTCTCAAAGATGAAGCCCATGATTCTTTGGGCTTCCTTAGAGTCATCAGAAAGGAACCTCAGGACTGATATTGGCCATCTTGGTCATTAGTAACTGGCCTGGGTACAACAGGAATTTGAATGGATAGCTCGTGTTTATGCTGAGTGATTAGGACTTCATGAACTGGGAGGACTCACGGAGTGGGAGGAATCCTATAGGAGAGAGAAGAATATAGTATAAGTGATAGTCACTTGCATATAACAGCTTTCTGTACATAGCATGGAGATATTTAAATCTTTTAGTTAATTCAGGTCCAGTCTCCGACACGTATTGGCCATGTTACTCTGAACAACTCATTTGACTTCTCTTTGCCCCTAGCAGCTCTCTAAAACTTTAAATTGCAGAAGAGATGCTGATCTGCATTGGTGGAGAGAATTTCTTCGTAAGAGAGTTCCTTATACTAGTGAAATCACAGGTCCAGTCCCTCAGCTACTCTGGATTCTACAAATGTGATTCTTGAGTTTTATTTTATTGCTATATTTTCCACAAAAAAAACTATAGCAATCCAGAATATGAAATTTTACTATATACTACTGCATGTCAAATAATAGATTCAATCCAACATTATGTTATCAATGCATTAGTTCCCTAATCCTTATCGTACTTATTTGGAAGAAACCACCCTGCTGAATGTTGATAAAATTAAGTGTTTTAGAATGGCTACCAAAATCAACTATTGATATAGGTTTATTTTAGGTTAACTTATTTAACTCCTACATAACGATTTTTAAAAGAATAATATAGGCACTAAATTTGCAGTCAAAAGACTTGGGGTCAAATCTTGATTCTAATACTTAGTATGTGTCACATCTCTTGGCTGCAAAATGGGAATATAATAGTTGTACTGTCTACTACCTGGGTGCTATGAGGATAATACTTTGTAAACTTTCAAGTGCAATAGAAATGTGAACTATTAAACTAATCCCTCCATCTACCTACTGATACCTTACATAACTCCCAACAGAATTGTTCTTTCCCTACTTGGTCCTTGGATAGCACTTTGTTCATTATACACACACATACACACACTCACATACATATGTACACATACACATATGTGTACATATACATGCACATATACACATACATACACCAATGATGTTACATAAACACAAACACACATGTGTATGTATACATATATATATGTACATGTGTATATGGGTGTGTGTATGTAAAAAAATTATTGCTTCTGGCCCCACTTTCTTGGAACCAGCTCTGCTGCATCTTCCCTCAAGGTTCCAAAGCACTCTGAATAGTCTGGGGTATCTCTTTTCTTTGCCATTGCTCAAGCCTCCACAGGCTGTATTCCTCCCACTTTAGGAACCCAGTGACTAGCAATCCAGTTCCATTTAACCATATCATCAACTGGGCTTTCACAGGTCTATTTACTTCACTGATACAGCAAGAAAAAATGCACAAACATTTTTTGAGCAAGAACTTGGAGGCATAATTAATTCTAGGGGTGGGTGGGTGGAGGAAGATACTTAGCTCAGTTTCTACTTAATGAGACCAAGTTCATGTCCAGATGTGTATGACTGCTGGATGAATTCTTCTGCTGGACTGGATTCCCAAAGGTCATTCCTGAAATTCTCTCTTTGTTCCTTGATGCTGGCTGTAAAACCCTGCCTGAATCTAATTCTCGGATTCCTATAGTTTATTCTCCCTAGGTTAGAGACCATTCTCTTCAACAGCTGCTATGAGCTAAGTAGTCACCAAAAAGCACTGAAGTGAATGAGGCAGCAACCATAGTTAAAGCTGACAAAAATTTTGAATGGCTCTATAGCCAATCAAATGCCAAATCTTCAATACATTGTTAGCTAACCCAGAACCAGTTATGGACTATACGTACTTCAGCCTATACAAAGCCCTTTCCTTATATATCATCATAATTCTCCTGGAAGCAGCTCCCCGGTAACTTCCCCTGGGAGACATCATCTTATCAAGTTGTTGGCATCTATCTGCGCATGCATCATACCCTCATCCATTAAAAAAAAATGAAAGTGAGGCAGTGTGGTATAATTGAAAGAGTTCAGTTTCTGAAGTCAGAGGACCTGGGTTCAAATCCTACCCTTGATGCTTATTATCTATAAGACCATGGGCAAGTCAATCAGGTTCCCTGGACTTTAGTTTCTTCATCTGTAAAATAAAGAGATTGGACTAAATGGCTTCTGGGGTCCCATCCATCCATGGATCTGTGATTTTCACACCTGCCATGTTGCCCTACTAAGCTGCAAATTCTTTAAGGACAGAGTTGTGTCTAATTAATCTTT